TTCTCAATCCGGAGTTCTGGTGTTTTTATTCTGTCGAATACATGCACACGGTACAGACATATCGACATAAACCTGATCTATAAATTCATATGGAAGAGGTTAGTCAGTTTTAAGCCCAAATATTCACTAACAAAACTAGTCAATATGAATACAATTTGTCGGTATATCTGGTATGTAGCTAACAGTGGAATTTAGGACAATTTTTTCGTCCCATTTATAACTCATCAGTTGGATGTACCTATCAAATAATAGTGTTGGTTTTCATACCAGGACTCGTACCCGGTTCCTTCCAACTCAAAAACTTAATGTATTACCTACTTAACTTGCCATCTGTAACCATAGTTACAGTTATTAGTTGCTAACGTATAAAAATATTACCATAAGATGTTAGGGTAATAAAAATGGTCAAGAGAATGAATAGAAAGGGGTTAAAAATGAAAGAATTGACTAGTCAATTTTAATATGACAGAATAATAAAATACAAGTTTTATTTTATAAAAAGATAATATAATGAAGCAATTAAATAGACAACTCAAATACATACACACATACATTTCTTTGTATTTTCGCTTGTTATTATTCTCTTCAATTTTCTTTCTTCATCATTTTAGTAGTCAGTGGTTATTCTTTCCATTGGAGCCATAAACACAAGAAATTTTTCATGTTTTGTTTTTTTCTCTTTTCAAGCTTAGTGGTTGATTAAGAAAAAGTCATTTGATGAAAGATAACACAATGATGTATATATTTTTTGCATTATGCTGTCTCACTCTACGCTGTCAGTCCCATGTACAACAACAACAACTACTACTACTACTCATCTACCATTGCCACCACCTCTTCTACTCAATCTTACCACTTCTTAGTGGTTAAATGCCTTAAACGTTTCAATTGTTGAAAGACATGCAGTTAAACGTATGTAGTCCAGACAATTGACTTAATAATATGAATAAAAGAATGAAATCAGGAAGTTTTATATGTCTGTTCAGAGTGAAGGTGGGACGCTTCGGTTAGTGGGTGATATGAATTATGTGTTTTTAATAGAATGATATTTATCACTGATAATAAATGAAACAAGTTTAAACTGGATTTATCTTAGGTTTGATTAATTTAGATGAATACATGAATATTTATGTATTTGTGTGTGTGTGTGGAGGTGGGTGGGTTTAAGTATTGTGAATATACATATACATATATATGTATGTATTATCATTTTGATCAGAAGCTTTTGTCATAATAATAAATTAAGATGAGTAACTTTCACATCTCATTTATTCCGTTCACTCATTTGAAGATGTTCTCTGATCGAATATTGAAAAGGAACGGAAGATGAATAAGTGACAATTATAAGTAATAATAATAATAAACGAATATACATCGAATTCATCATTTACCATGTACATACATAGAAATTGTTGAAAACAATGAACAATAAAGAATTAACTGTCACAATCATACTTTCTGTCTGGTCTATACTAATAATATTGATAGAAATAATAATATACTGAGATCAAGTAATAAACTAAGTCAAACAAACAGTAAAAACCTGGAAGTATATTGGGTAGTTTTTTTTAACGGCCTGTTGGAATACCTGGGCTACCTGTTTCTGCCATCTAAATATTTAAACAAGTTATCTGGGTTTTTTTAATTTGTTTTAACTTATCATTATGTCTATTAATCGCATAACCTATACAGGCGCGTTTATGAAAAGCTTACGTCATTTCTCTGCAAAAATCACAAACAAGTACAATAAGAGACATCGTGGTGGTTGGCAATATGCATTAAAGAGAATGAATATTAATCAAATGTCGATTCTAGAGCTGCTTAATTCTAATTGTCAATCTCTAATTAACAAGGTGGACTATCTCCAATTTCTACTAAGTCAAAACATGTATCGTAATTGTGGTGTCGTCACAATTCAAGAATCTTGGTTCACTGACTTACAGGACGATTGCTTAGTATCATTACATGATTTCAATATCTATCGTCAGGATCGATCAAACAATAAAAAAAGATTTGTGGCGGCGGAGTAGCTACGTTTGTAAACGTTAACCTTTGTTAGAGTTGACCTAATAAATAACCTGTATTCTTAAGCATGTCTCAAATTTGATAATTTATACAGACTCAGATATTTTTTAAACCTTTTTTTCATTTCTTTTCTGCTTTTTTTGTTTTGGTAAAAAACTTGTTGAAATAACTCGTGCTGAGAATTCTATATTGTACCAGATTATAATATTGAATAAAGTCATTAATAATAATAATAATAATAGTTATTTCGTCCTAGTATAAAACTCCTTAGCAATGTACATCCATGATTTTTTTTTCTCTCTCTCTCTCTCGAAAGTTAAACTCAGGATATTTTGTCTTAAACACAAATACTTATCAGAAGGGGTTTTGTGGAGATTTAAGTAATTTTATAGAGTTGAGATCATGAACCAATTGAAGCTAGACCACTATGAAAAACCTGAAAGTTGGCTCCGTGAGGTATTTCCTGGAGTTCTAGTGAGAAGCAGTAAACAATGGAGTTCAACCAGGTCTGTTGTGAGATAGTAACTCACTGATGACATTGGTGAATGATTGCTCAATTTCGTGGATTGGTTGAAGTTAGACATTAACACCGTTGGATGCCGTCTCAGTGGTCCATCGGCTAAGTGCTCTGGTGCGAGACTGGTAGATCCTGGGTTCGAATCTCGCTCGCGAGTGCGGGATCGTGGATACGCACTACTAAGGAGTCTCATAATAGGACGAAACGGTCGTCCAGTGCTTCTAGGTTTTCCATGGTGGTCTAGCTTCAATTGACTCATGATCTCAACTCTACAAATCCTTAACCCTTACATCACTGGACAGGTATTTAATGGTGTACAGGTTTAACCAAAATCACTTTGCAATATTTTTTGAGATGGATAACTGTCTCATACACGAAACGGTACTTTAAGAAGACAATGGAAGATGGTCGCATAGTATTGCAGATTGATTGAAGTTCGAGTTATTAACTTCACATGAAGGAAAGGTGATTTTTACGATAATGATATGGTGAAAAGTGAATGTCTTGGCCTTAAACCGAGTTGGTAAATATGGAGAGTTTGAAAAACCTGACTTCAAATCAGTGTTATGTATGGACCACAGGATCCTCTAAAGAATAATTATGTATAAACTTATTTTCAGTTACCAGGCACAATTAGACATCAGCCCTTTACGTTACTCCATTGCCTTGTATATAAGACGTTTAAGTCAAAGACTTAGAGAGTGACCCTTCAATGCAAGCGTTTACACTAATTTGGGCAATCCTCCACATAAATATGATAATGAATAACAATTATTAAAAAATTATCTTAGTTGACAGAAATCTGTTTCATATCGGTTTCCAGTAATCTAAATTCTCCAAAAATTGGTTACTATTATCATGTATAAATCCTAACCAAGAAGCCTATTTACCTCCCGATATGATTCAGTTCACTGATTATTAATTCTGTATATAGACACTATCTCTGACTGTCATAGTCTTTTTCCAAAATATTATTATGCTAATCATCATTAGATGAACGTGTAGTTGTACTGTAGTATGTGTGTATTTATCATCTTTACTAACTAGATAGTTCAATCATCTACTTTGCAAATGTCTATTATTGAATAGTTGAACCTTAAATATGCTGAAGTGCATAGAAATTTACTACCTAGTATTTCATTGTTTCATCGTATGCCAAAGGTAGTCAACCATTAATAATTATAAACTGTAAATGAGATTATCAGATTGATTAACTATTTCCCGATACTTATGATCTACACAAGATACAGAATGTCTGTTGACTGGAAACCATCAGCTGTTGCTGATATCATATCAGAGTTTAATCAAGTTTACATTATACACAGTCAGTCATCTTCAAATGGTTGTACTCTACTGATCATGGGTCTACACAGGGACTCTTAAGAAAGGCTTACTTATTCCATACCTACAATCCTAACTAACTTTTGTTTTCATATATATTTTGGCCGTGTGTTTTTTATAAAATTATTTTCTTAGAATGTTTTCTATCCTTATTTATTTTTATTTTTAAATGGCTAGTTAGTAATAGACATTAAAATATTAATTTTTCCTGTTATTGAGGATTGTACATCAGCAAGGACTTATCAAGTCTTGAGAATATCAATAAAGACGAATTAAAAGTTTTTTTTTAAATGATTACACGAACATGTTATATGCTATTCAACAAATTATTCATGACTTCAGTTTTATAGGCAAAGATGAATGGTGGCTAGCAGTGAAAACCAGGATACGCGTTTCGTCCTATTTAAGACTAATCAACTGGATGTACCTATATCCCAAAGTTGATGTTACCTTCGGGACTCAAACTCAGTACCGTTCGACATTAATTAGGATAATATATTTGTAAAATTTCAACGAAAGAATTTGAAATAAATCCAACCTTTCGCCTGTCAATCTGGTCCAAGCTTTTTCAAGAAAATACATCAACTCAACGCCCAAATATTGTGAAACTATTCGCTCTAATTTAGACGAAAGTTCTTATATATCAGTACCGTTCGCTTTAAACACCATCGTGTTATCCATTTAGCTCTAGAGTCCTGATAGCCACTTAACTGTACAATGACGGTGAAGCTTAAATTCACTTAATATTATTTGCTTGTATCATCCAATTATTGTTTAGATGAATTTATGACTTCAATCTGTTGACATAACTTTACAAAGGGGGTTATTAATCTTCTTTTTCACCATTGGTTAATTTGTTACGGCCGAATCTAATTTCTTATTGGTTAAAAAATATTTTTTTTAAAACCCACAGATCGTTTGAATTTTTCTGATTGGTTTATTTTAAACGCCAATTAATTAACCAATCAGATGTAAACGATTAATATTTCTCATTTATTATTACTTTAATCATTGATAAATTCATATCACTTAGTGATAAGTTATTTTGTAGATTGATTTATATTTCTTGAAGGCAATTCATTTATTCAGAACCAAGAAGGGAAAAGAAAAAAAAACTATGGAATATTTAACAAACTCAGATCTAAACAATAATTTCTTTGTGAATAATACTAATAATACTAATCATAATAGTAGTAATAATAATACTGTATGCCTTTCACCGACAATATTAAATTTCAATAATCCTTCATATTATTCTCCACATTTAATTAATTTCCCACCGGAACAATTAAATTTAGAATTCGATCATCATAATCATCATCATCATCATCAGCAACAGCAGCATCAGCATCATGAGAATGTTAAAACAAAACTGAATGATAAATTATTAATGAGTTCAAAACTTCCAACTCATCATGAAGTTAATAATGATGGTAATATTATGAATCCCATTGATATCCATGAGGATAGTGTTAATAAATGTAATCAAATTTCAAACATAATTCATTCTAGTATCAATAATACAACTGGGAAGAAAACAAAGAACTCTGTTAAAACTGGTAAGTCATATTGTTTTGATTTGAATGTCTGTTATATATATATATATAAATATGCAGTGAAATGTGAAGTGAGCTAAAGAGGAAACTGTATTAGTAATGGTTGTGTTGACATTGAAGCATGATCATAGAGCTCAAGGAACAATTAGTAGTAGCCTTTCTTGAGAGATTCGTAATATATTAGCTAAGTGATTGAAAACATCTTCTCGACGGAAACGAAAATCTGTGGAAAAAGATAAAGCGCGACATTTTTAGTGCAAACCTATTTTAAGAAAGCTGTACAGAACTAGGATCTGTCGGTTCTATACGATGACCTGATTGTGGTTAGCGGCTTGAGATGTTATCAGATATAGAGGCTAAGAATAGATTCCAATATGACAATCCTCTTGTGATTTTCTTTCTTCCATGATATATTACTCTTTTCCACTTATTTTCACTCGTTTAATTATATTCACTTGATCATACTCACCTCCCTTGCTCTATCACTTCACAACTTCGTTTTCTCATTGTGTGGTGCATAATTATTTGGGTGGCACTTCGTATTAATATTTATCTGTTCATCTAAATAAATCAATAAGTATTGCTTGTAATCGTTGTTGACAATTGTATTCGGATGTTAAATATGGAACCACAATAATTCGCGATCATATTCAATTGAATGGAGTGAGTGAATGTCTCACAATTGACTCGTCTGAATTCCAGTAGTCACAACTTCTCAAGGGTGTACACTGCCCAACGATCTCATCTTGTGAGATTAGTGAAAAATGTTCTGTGCTTCCTGGTTTCAAAGATTGTCAATTTCTATAGAATGGACACACCACTGAACTAAGGAATTTGAATAGAACAGTTGTGTGCATCTAACAAATCATAACACTTTTCTCTTGGATATTCAACTTTCAGAAGCCACAAAATGCAGCCAATTTCACTGGGATATGTTCAGTCTATCATTCTTGCCACTTTTGGAAATTTTGATCAAATAATAGTCTGGATTAGAATGATTGCTTCAGTCATCTGTGAGAGGTAGTCATTGATAGGACGTACTTAGCCACAATATCATTCCAATTATTCAATTTACAAGCGTTTTTGGTTGATCGTTATTCATATCATGGACTGAAACTAATCGGTCAGCATTGATAATATGCAGATTACTTCGATATTGTGATTTGATCACCAACTTCTTTTTAAGAAAGTTGAGTTTCTGTAATCCCAAACGGAAACAACAGGTACAACTAGACACTTACAGATCAAATTCTGATCCACTGTGCAGGTCATTGATTATTGGCACCTATCATTTCCAGAGATAGCGAACCGAATTTTGAAACCATACCTACTGGGTTTTGGTCTGGATGTAAACATCTCAATGAGGATGCATTGCCATGCAACTGAAGAATCTTAAATATGACGACATGTGTGTACTGAATGTCCCTATAAATCACAAATTTACTTCCATCACTTTCACGATTGTTATCAAAGGTTTATATTGTAGTGAAATCAGAAGAGAACATTTATCAATGAAGCTGGATATAAATGGGAAATATTGATCTGATTTTATACTGTGAATAACTATTTCGATAGGATTTCCGACTACTTTTCTGATCAACTATCAACTGCTCTCATTCACAGTCGATTACAATACAATTGAATAGGAAGATGTCAAAATTGTGGAGACTTAAACAGTGATAGATAAACAGAAAATGGATATTTCAATGTATTCGATTGGTTTTCCCAAATATGGAATTACTATTTGCTGTGTGAATATGCGCATATAAATAATCACCTCAAATACTAATTAATTTCTATGATTATCTACAGTTGATGACTTACAGTTCACCTTCTTCTTCTTCTTAGTCCTCTGAGGTGCACTTGTGAATTCTACAATCTACTTTTACAAACTCAATTCATTCATGATATCTGTGCATTTTCCACTGTATTGTAGTTACTTAATAATAGTCATCGTCGTAATTCTCATCTCATATTCAACCACAAATATTATCAATATTGAAACTCTGAAGTAAACAGTTCAATGAGAGTGTGTTATTCAAATCTAATTTCAATAAATTCGTAATAACACTCGACAATGTTCAATTGAATGGAGTGTGTGAATGCCTCACACTTGACTCGTTTGAATTCCACTAGTCACAACTTCTCAAGGGTCTATACTACTCAACGATCTCATCCTGGGAGCAATATAATAAATGTTCTGTTTCCTCGTTTCAAAGATTGTCGATTCCTATAGAATGAACACAGTTTGGAGAAAGACAGTTTCAGTAAACCGATATGATGATAAGTATATGAGCAAATATAATTGAACATATAATCTAATCCAGTTACCATGGTGTTTGTGTTCTTACCGTTCTTCCTATCATACTCAACCTCATGTCATTGTTTAAGTAAACAAATTGACCGGTGTTCATCAATTCAGTTTATTTGTTCGTTTCATCGTGTCGATGAACTATATGAATGTCACAATGTTCAATATTCACAAATTGATTTTACATGAGTTGAGTGTTTGTCAATCAACAAATATGTTTCATGCAACATATTCTCCTCCATCAATTAGTTTCCAATTTGTTGTTCTTGTTTACAGACCACCCTCACCCTCCCACCTACTGGATAATCAACATATTGATCATTCACCACTTGTTTGAATGTTGATACTGTTATTGTGTCAAGTGTTTTCGTGAAAGGAGAGTTAGAAACACACAGTGATGTCTACACGTATCATAATGCAATTATGGTCAAACATTATGTGTTTACTCAAGAGATTGTAGAGTACGATGTTCTTGTAGTTTATTATCACTTGTTAGATTATTTCATGTGATTGTGAAAACATGATGGATGTGAAGCAGTAATGATTATTCATCTATTCTAATTGGTAGTATAAAGTTGTGGATGTTTTCATGTGTTGTCTTCAGTGCTGTTGTTTACTCGAGTGTAGAACAGGGTTTTCCAGTATATAATTGTCAGTTTGTTGATCATTAGTCGTAGGTGTATGGAATAAGATATGGAATCGGTAGTTTGTCAATATCTCATCGTCTTATTTATAATAAGTTTAATCGATGCTATGATGGGTTCAGTGAAATTATCAGTGTACACGCAAATACACTTATTAAAGTTTATCATAATTAGTCAGTCTATCGTGTGTTTTCAGAGACTGAAGTTAACATGACTTTTGTATTTTCATAGTTGTATTTTCGTTATGTGTAACGGTAAATTTAGGTGGTGTGACTATAAGATTATTCTAAACGGTGAGTGGTTTGAGTATAATCGAAATCTATGCTCAATGTGTCTAGGTGGAGTTATTTTTGATCATCGAGTTATAAGTTAACCTAATAAGAGATTGATTTTACATTGGTTTTTACGAGAACCAGACACCATCCAGTCCTTCGCACTAGTATCTAAACAGGACAACTCAATCCAATTTGAAGTCACACAGGTACCAAGAAACCTGGTGCCCACATTATATATATATATATAATGTTGAGAAACAAATTATCTATGACCAGAAATACGTTCGATTAACTCAAGTCTAATCTAGTGATTGGGTTGTTACTATAGTCCATTACTATTTAGAAGACAATCACCGAACAGGTTTTTGCCTTCCACATGGCGGTATTAATGATAGCGTATATCATTGTTAAAACTGTTAATATAATATCAGGTGACATGTATGACGTGTTTGCAGAGGTTCAATATGTATAAACTGTTAATTTGTCGTCGGGTGTGAATAATAGATTTAAATCATAGTTCTTTCAATGTTATTCGTCTTTATGTATTTAGAGATTCTTTTGTGTATAAGATTGAATTGGTAGACATATAGTAGTAAAATATTTGCAAGGATACATTATATGAACACCTGAAATACACAAGTCTGTTACGTATGCAATGCATAATACATATATGTATAGGCATAAATACTGTTTTACTTGATATTTAGTGTAGTGAAATGAGTAGAATCACTTTTAACTTGAATTTTGACAAGGTAAGCTGATCTCTATTTAGCCGTCCACGTTAGATTTGTGGATAAGTCATACTTCGAGAAGTCATTGTCAGAGTTCTAGTGAGAACTTATAGGAAGTAGAATTCACTCATGTGAGGTTGGAATAAGCTATTCATAAATGGGACCGAAAGATTAAATCATTTAATATCAACTTACTAGTAGAATTGTTAACGCCTTACAGTACGACTCTTGAGCTGTGAACATCCACGGTTCCCTATTGGAGACTCGAAATTATAAATTAGCCTTACAGGAGGTTAATTTTATGTTGATTTCCATGTTTTTTCACTGTATATCGTTTTGAAATGAAAGTTGTTTTTTATTCTCTAGAGGAAGTGAATGCGAATGGTGGATACCACATTTGTCCCAGTATTGACAACCCATTGAAACTTGAGCTCACATTAGAACAATAATATGATTGTAACTTTTTTTCCTAAATATTAGTCAATATGAATATAACAATTGTCACTTTAAATTCATTTAGCATCGTTTGTTTGAATCTTCCCTTTGATGTTTAGGATGACAACTGGTCAGTCTCTAATTGGCATATATGCATACTGTGTGTATTGCCTCAATATAGCCTTAATTCACAAGCATTATAAGCAAAGATAGATAGAGGCTAGTAGTTGCTAACTCCATTATCCAACCCTTTTCATTTTCTCGAACCGGTATTAACATTAGAAGAACATGACGAAGGAATTCTAAGAATATTTGAAGTAAATTATACCTTCATTATATAATGAGTAATCCACAACTGTTATTCGTAACTTTTACAAACCTGTAATAAAGACGAAATTTATTACTTCTAGTATATACAGATGGAGCATTTGGAATTGAGAGTAGAAATAAATTTGAATTCACTTAGTATTGTTTGTTTGAATCTTCACATTGATGTCTTAAAACTGCAACTGGTCAGTTTCTAATTGGCATATGTGAATACTGTGTATATTGCCTCGATATAGCCTTAATTCACAAGCATTATAAGCAAAGATAGATAGTGGCTAGA